TCAAATAGTGCTCACAATAATGCGATAGAAAGAGCGAACCCTAGAAGAGAAGGTGTCGGCGCTACAGTCCCACTCTTCTTTCCATGTTCGATGCATCTAAAAGAGTATGGACGATGGATCCAAGCAGGTAACGGATCCCACATCTTATTCTAGATGACATCAGGTAGCGGAGATTCTTGGTAGGGATTGTCCAATTTTTATTGCCTCTCTTTGAATAAAATTACATTCATAGTAAAGCAATTTTTATACGAGGTGCCAAAAGAGGTAAATCTCGAGTTTGAATCTCAACAACTGCGATAAGAGGTTACTGTGTAAAAATGAATTGGAATGGAATTTTCAATATGAAGATAGATGGGGTTTATTTACTATGAGAGACAAGCGTCATTAAAAATAACCCATTTTTTATTGCGATGATAGACAAGCGTCATTTCCATTATGATGATAGACGGGGTTTATTTGCTATTGTTTGTGTTAATGGTAAATTATCATTGACCAAGCTTTCTGACCTATCAAGGAGGAAGATTACTAGAAGATTTTGGATGGCTTCTACTTGGAGAAATTTTTCCATTTCAATATCTTCTTTTAATCTATAGGTGTCTTTTTAGAGTAGGTTGTTGACAAAGGAAAATCTACTCCATTTCAAGCTTGAAAATTCATATCATGACTTTTCGCCACACACGCAAAATATTAAAAGACGTATTGTTCCTCTATCTTGTTACTAAATTTTCAATTTTGCTGTTCGTGCACAAATTGTACACAACTTGTACATAATGTATATACCTTTTTTTATTTTTAGCATTTCATTTTTATTTTTTACCCATTTGTCTCTCTCCCTGACTCCCTTGTCTCTCTCTTTCTTTCTTTCTCTTCTCTATGCCCTTCTCCCTCGTTTCCTTCCTACTCCTTTTTTTTTCTTCATTTTCAAATTCTTTAATTTCTAAATCACTTTCAATTCCTCTTTAAAAAAAAATCACTTTCAATTCTTCTCTCCATTTGAATTTCATACATGACTGGATTTTCTATATCATCGAACATTCTTCTTCAACCATGACCTAATATCTATTCTCATTTTTTTCATAGGTGTTTTTCTTTCTTTTTATATTTTCTTAATTTTATGTATATGATGTATGTTATTATAACTTTAAACAATTGATTAATTTGTTTATTGTAAGAGGTATGAAGTGTTAATTATTGAAATTTTAGGATAATTACTCTAGTTCATTTTATGCTAATAAACACGTTTGTTGAAAAGACTCAATGAACTTTTTGTTCAAATTCATGATTTTGTTCTCATTTTTGTTAATGTACATTATTGTTTAGTGAGTTTTAGACTTTATTTTTCTGGTTTTACAACATTACTGTGATATATTAATTTTTATTTTATTTTATTTGACTATTATGAATTTGCTAGATTTTTTTTCTTCCTTTAAGGGCTACACGTATTTCTCGTTTTCAGATGTTATGTATCTTAATATATATAGTGTAAAATGTTTGACTCTTTACCTTCCTTGTGTTTAGGGCTGGGCACGGGCTGGGTCGGGGCGGGTAATGCAAAATAAAATGGAACCGCCGGTTCCATCGTACGGTCCGGTCCGGTCCGGTTCGGATATTGCAATTTTCAAAATAGGAACCTGACCTTACCCGGCCCGTTTGAAACGGGTTGGTCCGGTCCGGGTTTCACGGTTTCTATTCACATGTCTTAAAATTAGTAAAAACTCACGAAGTTCCAATAATCAATACTCCCTCCGTTCCGCTAGAAGGTTCCCGTTGACGGTTTACGATGCTTGATTGACGATAAAGCAACTTAATCCCTGTTCACACTCTGATTATTTTTAGTAAATAAAATTTACATATTCAAAAACTACATTAAAACCGCTACAAAACCTGATAAAAAATGTAGATTTGATAAAAATTTGATGTATAGAGTAAAAGATCAAATGATTTAAGTTGACCATGTGAATAGTGGACGGGAACCTTCTAATGGGACGGAGGTAGTAATATACTACATTAGCAAGTTTCAAAATAGCAACATAGTTGTGCACATGTAACACAAGTGACAAGTCCAATACTCCATAATTTCATGTATATAAGTTCCAAACAATTAAAGAAGTCCCAAAAATCAGCATTATAGCCAAAATACATATTTTCTAACATTTGAATTTACACATGTTGTATAACATCACATATTAAGGTGATTGTTTTTTTTAAATTAAATTTTCACTATTAGCCAAAGTTGACACATACATCGGGGGTGGTAAGCACAATTTACATATTTTAAGAACAATATTATAAAAACAAATATTACAAAATCATTTTTAACAAATAATTAAATTCCATAGAAAGTAATAATTCAATAACAATAAAAATTAATAAGAAATTTATGTAAAATTTAATCAGTAATTTGAAAACAAAAGGATGTTACTGCAACTCAATTCAAAATCCTACTTCTAGCCAAGGAAAACAAAACTATTTCAAAACCGATTATCACAAAATTATTAATAAATTAATATACAATATATATAACGGGCCGGGCCGGGTACCCCGTATTTTTTATTTTGGAACTGGCCCGGGTCTTTAAAAAAAATTACCCGACCCTACCCGGACCGTTTTATGGAAACAAAAAATGGAACCGGCCCGTTTTGGACCCGAACCGCCATTACCCGGACCGGACCGCGATCCAAGACCCGTTTGCCCACCCCTACTTATGTTGCATTAGTGATTTTAATTATTGAAATTTCAGTCAAAGTATTCTATCTCATGTTTTTGCATATTACATTTGAAATGTTTCACTGAATTTTTAAGAGTTATGTGAACATGGTGGAAGGGCAAAGAAGGATCTTTTCCTTGTGAGTATGAAGAAGGTGAAGACTTTGATGTTTTCAAATGGGGAAAGGACAAAAACATATCATTCCTGATTTTATCGAATGCGGTGAAGCAAGTGCTATCAATGTCGGCAGTGGCGGAACCACTTTAGGTCCAAAGTGTTCTCATGAATGCTTAAAAGTTTGAAAAACATGCAAGTATTTATGTATAAATTTTGTGTAAAATATTTTTTGTTCTTTGAAATTTTAATTTTATGAAAAATGAACACTCAAACCCTAAATTATAATTCCGCCACTGAATGTCGGTGTCAACAATAGCCGTAGAACAAGAATTTAGCCAAACCAACAACATCCTAATAGATTTTAAAACACGATTGAGCGCACAATCTCTTGCGACGTTCATTTGCTTCCACGATTGGTTGGAGACCAGGCGTAGAATTCAAGAAGTTTGCATCGCCTCCGATAGTCACTTCATGAAGGAAACAACAATTGATGCTGGAGGAGATTCCAACTGATTTTTAGCAAATGTATTTCATATTTAAAATTATTTTCAATTCTCAATTGTACTTCATATTTCAAATAACTGTACATTTAATTTTTAATGTCTAGCACTTGTTGGAATAATTTGAAAACAAAATTAACTAAAGGACCGGCGCAACCCAACCCGGGACCGGTCCGAGGCCAGCTCGGGTAGCCCGGATCGGAACTGGTAATGGTACAAACTGGACCAGAATTGTGTAGTACGAAAGCCTGCCGATACCAGGCCCAGCCCGAGTCCATGATTTGCTGCAGCGCTATTAATTTATTTGTGAGTGTACCTATTTGAATTTATGAATTATGAATTAGGATTGATGTTATAGTGCTGTTGTTAAATGTTACAGTATTTACCCGTGAACTTCATTTTACTTGGAGTACTTATTTAGTGAATTTAGTACTGATTTTTAGCAAATGTATTTCATATTTAAAATTATTTTCAATTCTCAATTGTACTTCATATTTCTAATAACTATACATTTAATTTATAATGTCTAGCACTTGTTGGAATAATTTGAAAAAAAATAACTAAAGGACCGGCGCAACCCAACCCGGGACCGGTCCGAGGCCAGCCCGGATCGGAACCGGTAATGGTATAAACCGGTCCAGAATTGTGTAGTACCAAAGCCTGCCGATACCAGGCCCAGCCCGAGTCCATGCTTTGCTGCAGTGCTATTAATTTATTTGTGAGTGTACCTATTTGAATTTATGAATTATGAATTAGGATTGATGTTATAGTGCTATTGTTAAATGTTACAGTATTTACCCATGAACTTCATTTTACTTGGAGTACTTATTTAGTGAATGTAGTGATCAAATATAAATCATAGCTATAGTCATTTAAATTAGTGAAGCTTCATATACTCCCTCCGTCCCAAATTGTTTTGCAAAGTCAACATTTTTTGGTCAACCAATAATAAAAGTCAAACCTTCTTATTGATAATAAATTCAATTTTTAATAATTAAAATTTACATATTCATAAACTACATTGAAATCTCTTCAAAGTTGTAAACTCCAAAATGGAATATAATTAAAAATTGACACCCTAATTAAGTGAACAAAACGAATCTGTTTGACCAAGAAAAGTCAAAATTGCAACTCAATTTGGGACGGAGGTAGTATATGATTAGGGACGGACCGGGCCCGGTCCGATTCCGGTTCAGGCCTAGGTCTGACTGAGCCTGGATGGTTTTGGGTAAGGCCCGGAACCGGCCCGGGATTCTGCCGGTTTCGGGCCGGGCCAATTCCGGTTCAATTTTTGTTTTTTGTGTTTTCTTATTTATTTCAACCCCCATCCCCCAACCCTCAGAAACACCCACCCACCTTAACCCAACCCAAACCCAAAAAAAAAAACCAAAAAAGAGGCCTGAACGGCCGGGCCGGTTCGCCTTTTTCAAGACTCGGAACCGGTTACCCCCTCGGGCCGGGCCTAGGCTCGGAACCAGTTTACCGGTCCGGGCCTAGGCCCAAAACCGGTTTACCGGGCCGGGCACAAACAGTATCGGTCCAAGCCGGGCCCGGTCCGGTTGGCCCGGAACCGGTCCAGGGGTCCACCCCTATATATGATGGTTAAGCATATTAAAATTCTTGATAGGAGGTTGAAACTTGAAAGTCAAGAAAAACGTCTAATGAAGGAAATGAAAGGATTAAATCATCTCGGGTGTTCCGCCAATGTAGTATACATATCATTTGTTTGAAGACTATGGGGAGGCGAAGAACAATAATAATGTTCCAGACATGAGCAGAGTTAAATACATGGTCATAATTGTTGAAAAGCAGTCATGGATGGAGTAGAGGAGATGAAAATCATGAAATTATCAAGAAAAACATCAATAATAAAAATTCCTAAAAACCAATAATACATCTCTCCAAAACAGACTACAAATTTCCGACAGTATCAATCATATTCGAAAAATTTCATTCTAAACGATGGAGGAATGGGCAGGCAAGATCAGTCAATGCCTCACATTCTCCCGAATAAACGCAGCTATCTGAGTGATTTCACCAGTCAAAGCAGAGCCTTCTTCAACTACTACCTTGTTCACGCATTGGGAGAATGTGAATGGCTCTCCAGGTGTTCCAAGTGTAAACTCATTGGAAATATCTGCATCTGATACAGCAGTTCTTGAATGACGAAGCTTCTCTCTGAATCATTTTCAATACAAACAAAAGTTAAAATATGTAAAATACACAATACACTCTAGTTACAATAAGACACTGTTATCTCACATTTCCCTTTCCAGTTGCTTTGTTATGAACGCTTTTGTATGTGCAGTAACTTTATCCACCTTGTTGCAGAATACTAGTACTGGAATCTTCTTCTGAACCACATCTTTCTTGGTCAGAATGTCATAAAGGTACCTTCATAAGGGAAAAAAGGGAGACATACGAACAAGTTATGCATAATAAGTCCAATTTCAAAGTGCAAAGCAAAATCTAGGTAGACAGAGCTTGATTGGGACCCCTAAAATTTTAGAATCGTTTGAAGATTTTTCAGCTAGTTTAAAAATTTAATCATGTTTGGAAACATATGAACAATGTTTATTAAAAACAGCTATTATGAGAAGTACAAGAAATCTAGCTCATGATTATTTTCAATCTGCGATTCTCGAGATTTTGCCTTGTAATAACTACTTTTGGTTGTATCCAAATAAAACTAATTATTTTGAAAGCTGCTTTTCAGCGCAATAACTTTAACCACGCCAAAAAAGATTGAAACAATAACCAATTAAAATATAACCAGTTATTGAAATAATCAAACTTTTCCAGCTATCCAAGACACTCAAAGGATTGTAAGTACTCTGAGGCAGCAAGGCAGTTGGCTAAAAAATCTATAGCATCCACAACAAAGACAACCCCGGCTGCCCGAGGTAAAAACTCATCCAATTTTGACCGAAGACGATGGTGACCAGGCACATCAATAACATCAACCTCGAGCTTTATTTTGTCATCCTGCAGAAGAATAATACAAGTGTAGAGAAATTAAATCAAAACTTAAATTATATTGAATGAAGATTAACGATTACCGGGGGACAAATTTAAGTAATTACATATATAATAACCCAAAATTAGCTTCACATTTGCATATGGCATGCAGCATGCTTATTGTGTAAATGAAAATTGTGTGATTGTGCTTTTCAAGAATATTAGCCACACAATTTTCTCTTAAAAGTGAAATGGGAAAATAGTTTTGAAGCGGGCAAAAATAAAATGGGAAACTGATCTGGGGATACAGGGAGTGTATGATAATGAGGTTAGAAATATAAAAGCAGCAAAATAGATCAATACTAATGGGAATGATACACTCTCATGTGTGTGTGTCTATGTATAGGAATATTTGGTTCCAATTTGTGGTCTTTTATAACAGTCCCACCATTTATTTTCTTGACAATAAGCCAACCTTTTCTAACTCCAAATAATGGGCCATTTTAAGAGTGAACCTGCTTTTAAAGTGAACCCACTTCAGCAAATATTATCATTCTAAATTTCTAATAAAAACTTTGATATGTGGACTGATATACAAAAGGAGCAAACCAATGCTGGGCTATTCTCAAGACAGTGAAGGATGGGACTATTATAATTTATAAGATGATAGAGAAAAGGTTGGAAAACACACAATTGCTATACTAACTATTACCTTGGTTATCTCGGAACGTAGATTAATGGTGTCTCTATTAGGTTCCATTGATGTGACAGTACCCTCTTGTGGTGGTACGCCATGTCGAAGCTATAGTATACGAAACAGAGTTTATTTACAGTGTGAGGTTGCATCCAAAGAATTTCTACACCATAAAACATTTTCTTAACAAAAGCTATATGCATAAGCCACTTACCTGGTAAAATATATAAGTTTTTCCACTTCCACAAAGTCCAGTTAAAACAATGGTATTAAATGATCTGCGCTTGAGGGCTGCAATAGGACAATATATCAAAAGAGCAGCATTCTTTAGCATGTAAAACATTAACTCTAAGATATTTATATGTGCAAACAGAATGTGTTACAACTAAAATGGAGGCAAAGATGATTTATGCAAAATTTAAATAAACGAGAGAAGAGAAAAAATAAATACTGAACGAGATAACGATTGATATGCAGGTTCGTTAAAGAGAGAAATTCTGTGATTCTGAATTATTTAGGTACAAAAGAATAATGATCATTGATCAACCATATAATACTTTCCTTAATTGGAAGAATAAAGATTATTAAGGAACCGGCTGAAATTGGAAGTAGGATGATTAATGAACCGGTGGAGCCAGGGGCACCCGTGCCCTGGCCCACCCCAAGTTGGTGAAATTCTTTAATTTTACATGTAAGCAAATCAGTATGAAAATTTATAAAAATTTATATAGATAAATTTTTAACCGGCCCACCCCACTTTACTCCCTTGCCTACATATAGCCATGTTTTGCACAACGTCATCAATCTACAATCAATCTACAATAAAAGAACATGACAATCTTCTCCTTGCTCCTATAAATATTTTTTCCGTTACCTAGTTGGAAGCAGCTTACTGATCATCCATTCATCCTCTACACTTCTCACTGTTAAATTTTACAATTACAATATTCAACAAGTTATAAAAATCACAGCCTTTAGGGGCTAGTAAACACTAGCAGTCATTGAACCAATGCCGTAACCTAGGCAAGCATGCAGAACTAGAGTCAAATATTTGCGCTTAAATCATGCCTATGGTATGATTGGATGAGCAAATTCTAGGTAATACGATTTATTCAGAAGATGATTAGACTTGAGTTAAGAAGAGGAATTTACTGATGAAACGAAACCAAAAAGTAGTCAACAACAGGATTACAAGGGCAGCAAATAGATGAAGCAGAGGAATCTGATGCAGCAACTGATCAGCTTCTCCCACCAACTTCAGAGCTTGAACCTTCAATTTCTCGACTACATCTTTATCCATAGTGTTCTAACATTGACAAAGGTATAAAATAATTGCAGCAATTTTATTTCAGAACTGAATAGAATATATAAAAAGCTTTTGCATTAATCCAATATATATAAAAGCTGAACCGCCTGGGGTAACTGTTCCCGCCTGACAATGATGAATTCAACACTGCCGGCGTCTTGGTTGGTCATTAAATTACCGCTTATTACAATTCCTTAATTTAGAAAATTATTCATCGTTTAGCTGAAATAAAAGATAAATAACGAAGCTCAACAATACTCTCTAAGCTTGATCTATTCACCGCTGATAAGATATAGAAAGATATGTACGAAGAAACAAACCAAGATGCAATAAAATAAGAAATCGAATAACCTCGGGATACTAGACGAACGGCGTGGTGTAGACTGCGTCCGACCTAAGGTGGGAAGAGGAGCTGGAAACTGAGAGAGCAATATAGCGTTCGACCGCCGTCTGGCTGAGATGAGCGGCGGTAAAGACAGATGCCGGTCGGATGAATCGATACACGATGGGTTATTGGGCATATGATTTTCTAATTGGACCGAATCAAACACTTTGTGCTAACTCTATAAAAAAAAAGTGGAAATTACCCCTTTGGGCCACTTTTGTGGCCCGTATATCATTAAAGTCTCAACAACTTTTTTCTTTCAGTTTTAAACTTTTATCTTTTCACTTTTGTTTTTTTATTTCAGTTGTAGACCGTTTCTGCCAACCTCGAGCCAAGGGAAACAACGTTCTGCACGTTCTACAACATTCTTTCTTTTTCGCGGTTTCCTTCTCTGCTTCAACTTGATCTTCCCTCGTCTCCTTCCCTCATCTCCTTCGCTCATCTCTTTCAATTTTTTTCTTCTCTCTTCTTCATCCTGTGCATGTTTATCATTTCAGAACTATGTCAAGTTCAATTCCTCGTCGTATTACCAGATTGTCTGCAGCATTGAATAAAGGAAGTGATTCTGAGGCTAAAGGAAGTGATTCTGAGGCTAAAGGAAGTGAATATGAGGCTCGCAGTTCTTCATCCTCCCCTTCTGGTACAAGTTCTGATGTTGATGGGAAGAAGAGAACAAACGAGAATACTCCTCGCCGTACTACTAGGGCGTCCGCTGCATTACGTAATAAGGGAAGTGATTCTGTGGCTCACAGTTGTTCTGATTCCGATTCTGGAAGTAGAAGTTCTAATCTCGTTGGCAAGAAGAGAAAAAACGAAAATGCTTCTAAGGCTGTGAAGAAGAGGGCTAAAGTTTCTGATAAGGCAAAAGGGAAGAAGTCTAAGATCTCCGTCGATAAGAGGAAAATTAAAATCAAACCTGGCGGATTTAAGGTAATTACTTATCGCCTTGGTATATTTACATTATGGTTTCTATTTTTGTATTTAATTTGTTGTTTCATTCGTTTAACTTTGATTTTATTTCAATTTTTTATTTCTCTTTGTTTTTTGTCGTGTTTTTTTACTCCAGGAATGGGAGTATTTTGTTCCATGTGATTCCTGGTTTAACAGTAGGGTTTCTAGCTATAACAAAGATTGCATTGCGTCTAATCTGAAGGCGAAATTGACTGATGCTCAATTGCGTTTATTTAGTGAAACTTGCTTTGGTAAATTTCTAGATTTTCAAGACCTCAAATTTCAGCCTCAAGTTGTTCATTGTTTGCTTTTGAGAGAACTTAGTCACAGTGTTCCAAATGAGATGTGGTTTGAAGTTTCTGGTTTTCGTTTGCGTTTCTCCATTGCTGAATTTGCTGTTGTTACTGGTTTAAAGTGTTCTGGTCAATTTGATGAGTCTACTCTTACTTCATTAGACAACAATGACCTCATCAAAAAATATTTCAACAACTCTTCTAAAGTCAGTCGTGAAGCAATTACAACTTGTTTTCTCGGTCAACGTGCGGATTGTGATGAAGATGCTGTGAAAATTGCCATTCTATATGTTATTGGTTTGTTCTTGTTTACTTCGCCTAAGGAAAAGTTTATTCGTGAAAGTTATGTTGCTGTTGTGAATGCTGGTTTGTGGGAATTGTACCCTTGGGGGAAGGACCTTTTTGATATAACTTTGCAAAATTTGAAAGGCAGACTCGTGAGAGCGGATACTATAAAAAGTGATTATTTCTTTTACCGTATTCTGGGATTTCCTTTAGCACTTCAGGTGTGGTTTTATGAGTGTTGTGATTTCTGTGATGGCGTTTTTGCTTCAAGATCCGGTTCTCTAGTTCCCCGTATACTGTCTTGGCACTCATCTGTTCCGCTCACATTCAAGAAATTGAATATGGAACTTCTGTGTTTATCTGCTTCTCAGGTATTTTTTTTAAAAATCTTGTTTTCCTTGTTTTAGGTTTTTTTATTAATCTTTTATTTGATTTTCAAAATTTATTCTTTAATTTTTCTATTATGCAGTTGAAGTTACACAATCTTGTTCTCTCTGATGTTGAAAAAGAATCCCCTGAATTGGATGCTTTGTTTGCTGCTAATATCTTAAGGCCCCAAAGTGTTCCTTCTACTTCAAATGCTGGGGAGGTGCCTCATGTTTTTTCTGGCGATGCTGTATCAAGCTCTGCTTTATTTGACTTTGAAAAACGTCTAGATAGTAAACTTGCAGATTTCAAGGAATTTGTTCAGGGAAAGTTTAGTGTTTTAGAACAGAAGCTTGATCATGTTATATCACTTGCTGACTTTCGCTCTTCCAAGCAGCCAAACTTTCACTCTTCTAAGCAGAATTCAGGTTTTGTATCCTCGCACCAAACTCCTCGTAGACAAGCTCCAGTTTCTGAAAACAATGTTTCTGAAGATGATGCTACACTTGTTCTTTCTCTTAATGAGATTGATTCTCACTTTGTTGCTACTGATGAGTTTCTTCATGTTGATCTTGACTGTGGTCTGTTACATGATCCAATATTTTCTACTGATCCTTGTGTGAATGCCATAGATAATCAACATGTTTGTTTTTTGATATGTTGCATTATGTTTGACATTGTTTTATTTTGTTTCCTTCTTTGGTTTAAGGTTTTTTGTCATTACTAGTTTATGAACTATTTTTTTTACAGGAGTTGTTGCCTGATAGTGTTGCAGCTGTTTCTTCGTTTGAAGATTCTGATGTCCTATTTAATTTCATGAACAGTCTAGTTTTTTCAGCTGTTACTAATTCAATGTCAAATGAGCACGATTCCTTGATTATGGACTATGTTCATAATGTTGTTTTATCTAGTGTTACTGATATGCACCATTGTGAACTTGATTCTATGTTGTTGGAGCATTGCCAAAAGATGGTTTTTTCTACTGTTATTGATATAATGACTGTTGATCAACCACCAAATGATCAACAACCAGTTTCTCCCTCTGATGATGGTGTTAATGATGAATCTTTTTATGCTGAACTGGATTCTCTTGTTTCACATTTTAATAGTGCCAAGGTATTGAATTTATTTTCTTTTTTCTTTAGCTTTTGTTCTCATTTTATGTTTGTTTTAATATTCAGTTTTATTTATGTAGTTGTTGAGCACAGATCCTGCTTGTGGTTCTCCAGAACCTACGATGGCTTTAGTTCCTTTTGTTACACCTATATCAGTTGTTCATATTGATGAATCCAATGTTGAGCATAAAAGGAATATTAAGCCTAGTGTTTTCGTCAAATCTCCTTTTGTTGTTGAGTTTACTTCGGGATGTGAGTCTGCACCGTCTTCTGTTGAATCGTTCCCATGCCCTTTTCTTGATGAAGCAGTCTGTGTCCCAGCATATGATGATCTTTCGTCTTTTAATGTTTGGATCGACGAAAAAGCTTATAAGCGGAAGAGGTCTGTTTATAATTATCATTATATATTATAGAATTTAGAATATCTTTGTTTTTAACTAAATGTTTTATAATTTTGTAGATTAAAGTTAATGTATCCTGAGAAAGTTGATCATCTCAGTCCTGGGTTTGACTTTACTGTTGCTTTTGTGGAATCTAAGACATGGTTCCATAGTCTTCACTACGCTGGTGAAATGCTATCAGATTCTGTATGTTTATTTACTTTTTTATATATATTGTTTCTCTTGTTTTGTTGTTGTTGCATGTTGTTGTTTTGTGTTTCTTTATGTTTATTTTTGTTGCAAGTTTTGAATAAGTTGTTTTTTATTGTTTATATTTGTTTATTTATTATTATTTTTTCTAATTTTTTCGTTTTTCGTGCAGCATATCGATGTGATCTTTCATTATTTTAGGAAAAAAGCGGCAGTTACTAAGATATGCAAATGCAGTTTCACAACAACTGATGTTCTTTTTCAAGTTAGTATGGAAAGAGCATATGCTGCAACCTTGGACAAAACATTTTGTTGGTCAAGTTTTGCAAGTATATGTGATACTATTGGAGGCTTGCAGTTGCCGTATTCTAAGCCTTGGGATGAAGTTGAACATGTTCTCATGCCATTGTACATTAAGAAACAGATGCATTGGATTCTTGCTAGGTTTTGCATCAAAGATTGGTGCATTTATGTTTATAATTCACTGAACAGTTACAGGGATGCATCTCTTGCTAAAGAAGTTGTGAAACCACTACTTGTTATGCTCCCATTGTTTTTTCGACACATGGATCACTTTTCTAAGCATGGATTTGGTATTCAAAGGGATATAAAGCTGAATTTTGTGCCTGACTTGCCTGTCCAACATTCAGCGTAGGTTTATTCATTTAATTATTATTTTTTATATTTTGTTTACGTTTCTACTATTAACAATTTTTTTATTGTACTTTTTTGTAGTGACTGTGGTGCTTTTGTTGCTGCTTTTGCCGAGTATTTTATCGATAACATAGCGGTTCTAGAATTTTTGGACATTGACCTTTACAGGAGCAGGCTTTCATACTTTCTCTACCAATATGGATTGTCCAAAATAAATGGTGAAGTCCAGAGTGATGCTGAGCAAATCAAACCCAAGAGGAAGAAGCTGAAGAAGTTAATTCAATAGATGTAGCAAGAATTAATGTACTTTTGTTTTGTGATCTTGTAATGTAAAAACCAGATATGAACCTGTTCTTTTGGAAACGTAATGTTTTATGTTTGTCATACAGTTGTACTGTTTACTGTTATACAGTTGTTTTGAAAAGCTATTAATGTTCTGTGTCATATGTTTTTATGTTGTTTCTGTTAGTGTTTTTTATTGTTTATATTTGTTTCAATTTCCAATTTTATATCTTCTGTTTATTTTGTTGCTTTCTGAATGTCTTCCTTAAGTAATTACATTACTACCTTCATGTTTCTACACTTTGTTTATCAAAAATAGCAGTTGTTTTTTACTTGTTTATTGTTGTTGTTTATTGTTTCTGCTTTCGTATTTAATCCCATATTAGAATTTTTATCACAGAATGTTAATAAAGCTTACACATAATGGACACTAACAATATGAATGCAAATTTATATTAAATTGAGTTTGAACAGTACCAATTGCGAGAATTTGCAAAACAATTACATTATTGAAATTATATTATATAAACTTTCTACTTTTGTGGTGCATTCCTACGTGTCTTTCTGTTGTGGCCTTGGTTTCCACACTTCCCACATTTGTGTGTACTTGTACTCTCCCAGTGTGCCTTGTGCCTCTGCTTCTTTGGCCTTCCAGACTTTTTCCTTCCATGTGGGGGATATATTTTCATTTGCTGACAAGTATTCATTGCCCATGTCCCCTGATCTGGAATTGGATGCACAGTCCGTTGATATGTTTGTTGCATGGTGTCCTTTAAGTAGTAAGATGAGCAAAATTTGTATGGCTCTTGGTTCATCTTTTTGAGTACTGCTAGTGCATGCATACATGGCAATTCATCAATTTGGAATCTTTTACAAGTGCAATTCTTCTCCTCTAAGTTAACAATGAAGCTTGTGTTCATTTCAGAAACTGTAAATATTGCTTCACTAGTAGGAATGACCTGCAATTCAAACTGTTATACTCACACTTTTTAATAAAATTTAACTTGATATAATTTAAGCACTATATACCTTTAGCTTCATGCATTTGAGGTAGTTTTGTTCTAGTGTTTCATGTGGAACTTTTGCAAGTTTGGTGAATGTGTTTCTTGCAATATTTCTGTTCACATGTGTCCATATTTGTACCAATGCATGCAAGAACTGTAGCAACGCAGTTATTGGCAGATTTTTTATCTTTTTCAATGCGGCATTCAAGGATTCAGCTATATTTGAAGTCATTGTTGAGTATCTTTTTGATGTTGAGAAAACTCTAGTCCATTTTTCATACCCAACTGAGTATAAATATGGTACTATCCCCTCATCCAATTTCTTCAATTCCTCAATGTGCCAATCAAAGTCATCTTTGGTATATGCTTGAGCAGCTTCAAAAAAACTGTCTTTCATTTTCTTTGTTTTTCTTTTGAACTTTGACTTGAGGTTGTTGAATAGATGGTATATGCATACCCCATGCCCAGCTTCTGGATACACTTCTGCAACAGCTTTTGCAATACTCTCATGTCTATCAGAAACAATCACCATTCCACTTCTATAAACCAAAGCTTGTCTAATATTTCTGAAAAACCATTCCCAGGATTCATCATTTTCAGAGTCAACTACAGAAAAAGCAATAGGGAATATTTTCCCACAAGCATCTTGTGTTGATGCGGTTAACAGTGTTCCACCATACCTCCCAGTCAAAAATGTCCCGTCAACTACAATAACTGGTCTGCAAAATTCCCAGCCCTTAATTGATGCTTCAATAGCCATGAAGACATACAGGAATGTGTTGTCTTCATTGATTTTAAGTTCCACAAACGATCCAGGATTTGTTTGTTTCACAATATTCAAGAACTGGGGCAGAAAGCCATATGATTCTTCTGGTTTTCCTCTGAGTTTATTTAGTGCTTTTTCTCTTGCTCTCCAAGCTTTTAAGTAACTGATGTCAACACCAAATTCCTGTAACATGTCCCTCTTTATATCGGTTGCATTATATTGAGCCTTTGGATCCAAGAGCTTAGACTGAATGCATTCTGCTACCAAACTTGATGTTGCATGCCTTTGATCTGCTAATCTTACTTCCAATCTGCAAGAATGTGTATTTACAAGCTTCACAACTTTAAACCTTCCCATTGTTCCAATTTGTCTTGCTTTTATCTGCCAACTGCAGTTTTCATCCAAACACTTAGCCACAAAACAAATCTTGTTTGACTTTTCAGTCACGTATTGGAAGTGATTTTTTATAGCATTCAACTTCAGTGCTTTCTTGAACTCAGAATGGTTCTTGTATACCAGTCTTTCTTCAGGGGCTGCATCACTGTTGTTGCACTTTGTGGCTTCTGTCTCCACAATTTTATCTTGTAGTAGTTCATCAGTTGTTTTATTTGCTCATGCTAATATAAAAGCATTAATGTCTATCTCTTCACTAATTGTTGAGCTTTCTTCAGACAGTGCCCCTTCTTGCATCGCAGTTGTTGTTTCCACTTGTTGATTTCCAAGAAGAAACATGTTGCAATTTGTTTCTTCATGTACATTAGCAGTGGTGATGCATAGAGGGAACTTTGTCACATCTGTATCTTGTTTCTTCATAT